AACACTCCAGTTAGGCAGCGTTCAGACTTGTAGCGCTACAACTACGATCGTCGCGCTACAGCCGTCGCGCTACGATCGTCGCGCTACAGCCGTCGCGCTACAGCTGTATCCAGCTTCCTTTTATATTTTTTTCTTTCTGAATTCAACCCTCTTTTGCCATATTTATCTGATGCTGAGCTCTTTTCTACTTTACCGCATTTTTTACCACATTTTAATAATGGAATGAAAACAATTTCGCAATCGGGATCAACACGAGGCACCAATGCAAGACATCGAGCAAAGAAATCAAACATCAGTAGCAACCCTAAAACCAAATAGAGTCGGAAACGAAAATAAAACCAATTATCATAGTGCTCTGTATCAAAAACTATATAAAAATGTGATAAAAAATGTGGTAAAGTAAAAAAAAACAGGAGCTCAGCATCAGATAAATATGGCAAACAAAGAGAAGATGGTTAAATTCAGAAAGAAAAAATATAAAAGGAAGCTGGATACAGCTGTAGCGTAACAAGTACGAACGCTGCCTTATGCAAATAAAACAAAATCTAATGGTCATGGCGATAGAAGTCTTACGCTAATTCAATACGCAATGAGTTTATCGCGAGTGTGCTCCACGGCAAGCCCGCGAAGTTCGCAAGTGTTGCTGCAGTCTAGCCGCATGCGACGTCGCGTGGTCCTGAAGTCTGTCTCCCTTAACGCGACGGAGCGTGGCAGCGTATGTTCTGAGAAGAGGTTGCGTGCGGACCATGCGCTCTTCAAAGGCTGAGATTTGGGAGTGTAAGTATCATACTTTGCGATCCGATCGTCTATGGTTAGAGCGCGAATCGCGATCGCGGTTCATAGTTCGCGATTGGATCGCGAACTATGAACCGGGCTCGAGGAATACCTCCGTCGCCCCTTCCTTACTCCTTGCTATAAGCAATTATATTAACAACTGGGGCAATAGTAACCTGGTGGACGATGTGCCAACGGCCGAGCTTCCTGTCGGGAAACACGCAGCGTGTTTTACCTGTTACGGCTTCTGAAAAAAAACGGTGTCAAGCAACGAAGATGAGCACCGCGGAAACCACTCGAAAAAATAGCAGATTAAAAAATTAGCGAGCATCGCTTGACGGCCAGCAGCATCATGGGGTTTCCTTCAATTAATGACATTTAGAGGTAGCTATCGATGGTGTATTAGATGCATTTTTTACCCTTTCGAAAGATTTTTAGAAGAATGGATTCCTAGGAAATTGTTCGTTTAGGGATAAAATCCGCGGAATGCTAAGAGATACAAACCCAGGAGTTCGTGATGGGGTGAAGGTAAAAGAAAATCTCGAAGCGATCACGCTGTCTCTTCTGCTCCAATCCATACACAGCAAAACAAAAGACAGCTTGCACAAATAATATTAGGACCATCGGAAAGTAGACGCAAGTTACGAACAGAACGGGGAGTAAAATCACAGTGATAATCAGGGGAAGAAAAGGTAAGAGGAAGATTTCCAGCGCTTAGAACTAACTGAACCAAAGCTCCAGATTTGAAAAAAAAAACAATGCACCCATTGAGCAGACGCTCGTTGATCAGCGTGTATTGTCTGTGCTCTACTAGCAGACATATTATTTGACGCTTCAGTAAACTACCGTTTCGAATACTTTCGTTCCTAGTTCTGGCTAGATTTTGTTCGGTCTTTGGTCTCTTGTGCTTGTAGACGCTTTCGTTCACGTTTCTGGAATTGTCATGTATACCTTTATGTGTAGCGATTAGTTATCAGAACAGGAAAGTTTTTTTTCGTGGAACTTCTAGTTGCACTCTACAGATGTCTGATGAGTACGACATAGTACGAGGCGACTCATCGTCAAACACATCTACAACTGGAAGCTTCGAAAACGTCAACGCCTCAGGAGTAGCCGATCCTCCGGTTGAAGAGAAGGCTACCAATGGCGACGTTACGGATGAAAAATCAACTGATGGTGAACGAGACGAAGCAGGGGAAACGCCGGAATGGGCGAAGTCTGACGACGTGAGTTTTCTTTGCGATCGTTTTTTGAGTGGACAAGTGCGGATTCTAACTTAAAACATAATTTTTCTTTCAATGGATGAGCTGCCGAGAAGTGCAGGCTGATTGCAGGGAAATGCGGTAGTTCTCAAAGCAGGTTGTACGAAAGGCTGGCTTGAAGTTCGAGTGCAATAAGGCGCGACT